CAACAGGCTCCCAACAACAGGGTCCCAACAACAGGCTCCCAACAACAGGGTCCCAACAACAGGCTCCCAGCAACAGGCTCCCAACAACAGGCTCCCAACAACAGGCTCCCAACAACAGGCTCCCAACAACAGGCTCCCAACAACAGGCTCCCAACAACAGGCTCCCAGCAACAGGGTCCCAACAACGGGCTCCCAACAACAGGCTCCCAGCAACAGGCTCCCAAGTGATACCTGTTGGGAGCAGCATGCCATGGGAAAAAAAGGGGGGGAAGGGGAGAGGTCTAGATTGGGTTCTGCCTTGAAATGCAGCAATATTTTAAAATCTTCATTATTCATTTTAATTCATTCTTTAGTGAAGAAGGCATTAAATTTTACTTCCTCACACATAGAAGCTGATCATGTCACGTAAACAATCTGTTCAATGTTAACTATGTGGTATACAGTATACTAGGCATGGCCAGTGGCTTGAGAAACAGAACAGAGCCTGCTGGGGTACGAACACTAACTCATACTGGGTAAGGTCAGAGTCCTACAGACAGTAGTGTCTAATCTGGAGTTACAATGTAAAGGGTGAAGAACTGACCAAGAGAGAAAGCAAAGGCTGGGAAGTATCTGAGCAGAACGTCAGGCAATCAATCCATAATGTACTGAGAACGCCGTGAGACAAGGCAGAAGAACAGCCGGATCCTGTGCCCAGAGGGCTGGAAGAAACCATCTTTTGGCATGTACTGTGATTACCTGTTCTCCTTTTCTTCAACGTCACTTGTGCTGCTGAGCCTCCGGGGTGCCAGCGTACTAAAATAGCTTTTGTTTTCTCTATCCTGTAAAAAATAAAAACATGTAAAATGCAAGCAAGGCTCCAGAGTGACACAGCATAGAACATTTCTGGTAAAAAAGCAGGACTCTGCCGGGCATAGCTGTACACCTGTCATCCCAGCCCTTGGGAAGTAAAAGCAGGAAGATTTTAAGTTCAGGGCTAGCCAGAGCTCCAACAGTGAGACCGCCTCAAATCTCAAGTAGGGAGGCATAAGGAAAACTTACGACAGTTACATATTCTCCTATCTGGATTCATCCTTAATTCTACTTCAAGTGGCATTACAAAAGGTGAGCTTTCAAAAACGTATTCTTACCTTTCCTTCATAAAAATCTGTATGGAGGGAAACAACTGTCAAGAGGAAAGTCAGGATGCTCCAGTGAAGAAAACAGCACAACTCAGACAAAGGGCAGCTCTGAGAGGAGTGACAGGGTCGGAGAAGCCACAGCAGCTCCCTGTGACGCCCTGCATACACCAGTCTCATTGGGTCTCCAGCTATTTTCCCTTGGCACACAACCTCCCCAGTGACACACACAACAGGCAGACTGCAGGTCATCCAACCACTAGAGCTCATCCCTTCAAGCTGAGACCCCAGAGAAGAACACTAAGTGAACCTAGTGAAATCTAGAACCAAATTCTTCTTTGATGAATATAATGGTGAACTGCTCGGGAAGTCAGCCTAATCATATATTTCTATACATGAAAAATAACAGGTTAACATTTTTCTACCAGGCAAGGTAAGACAGTATCCACCCGGAATTCCAGCATTTGGGAGGCTGAGGCTACAGAGCAAGTTCCAGGCCATCCTGTCTTAATTTTTAACAAAGAAACAATAAACCACTGAGTGCTAATGTGCCCAGCTGCATTAAGGTTCAAAGTTCAACGCTGCTTGCAAACATCAAAAGAGTAGGTTTTCCTGATACTGATTCAGAAGAACCATTTGGGCCATGCTCAGCTTTCTGAGTCACTGTTTTCTCTAGGAAAAGTAAGAAAGAATGAACACAGAACAAGCCAAAGGGAAAAGCTATTTTTAAGACTTTCTTTTTTGGCTGAGAAAGACACTAGCAAATACATAACTACTTGATGAAACTACGGAAGTGTCAAGGCCAACAGACACCCAATGCCGGACTCCAAAGCCCCTCATCCTTCTGTAATGAGGAATTACTTTCGTTCTCCATTTTAAAAACATCTTCACAGTCTTTGTTCTTCCACAGTCAACTTGGGGACTAGAAAATACTTCCACTTGTTGTCGGGACTGAATTTGCATGAGAGAACACTGCCTTGGAATGCCCTGCAGACCCCTTCCCCCCCCCTCCCCCTCCCCCACTGCACCTTGTCTTTGTCGTCCAGCAAAGCTGAGATCCGAGGGCTTGATGAGGATCGGTAGATGGAGGAGCCTCGATCCCGAAAGGCTTCCCTGGAGTTGGCCACTTCGCTCAGCATATTGTGACTGCCAGTTTTTCTGAGTCCCAGTCTCCACGAAGAAGGAGATTCGTCTTTGGGCTCTTCTGCCTTGTTGAAAAGACTGGACAGCTATGAGGGAAGAAAAAGAAGGGGGAAGTCCTGATGATCTATTGTGATTTTTCCTCTCTGCTTTCCCACCTGACGAAGCTCGGTGGAGCAGCCCAGGATGTGCTTGCTGAGGAACAGACCTCATCTGCTAGATGCTCCCTCCCAAGGGCTCTTTCTTCAAAGCCAGCAGTGAACTCCAATTCTTAGTGCTCCTACCCACAGACGTGCTCTGAGAAAGGAAGCCCTTTTGCTGTCCTTGTGAACCAGCACTGTCCCGAAGCACCAGGAGATCGCTCTGGTGAATCATTTTCTTTTGACTTGCTGGTACTTGAAAGTAAGCTCCTTTTCTTCTCTATGTCTCAATGCACTTATCTGTGAAACTGTGATAATGAGCTTAATTCTTCCCCTGATACAGTCTGAAGAATCAGGGTGAGCTAATGTATAAATATATGTGGAGGCAGTGTTCTTCCATGTGATAAGCTAATTGTTTCCTTTTATTGAAAGTATATTTTTTTTCTCACATAATATAACCTGACTACAAAATTTCCCTTCCCTCTACTTCTTACAGTTCCTCCTGACCTCCTCTCCCATCTGGATCCTCTTCCATTTTACCTGTCACTAGTAAAGGAATAATAATAAAATAAAACATAATAAAACAAAAACTAACACATTGGAATTGGACAAAACAAACAAACAGAAGGAAAAAGGCACAAGAAACAGAGACACACTCAGGAGTCCCAAAGACACTAAACAAGAAGCCATAACCTAAGTGTCGAGGACCTAGTGAACGCCACGCAGGCCCTGTGCATGCTGCCTCAGTCTCTGTGAGTTCACATGAGCTTTGTTAATGCGGATTTAGAGGGCCCTGTCTCCTTGGTGTCCTCCACCCGCTCTGGCTCTAACACTCTTTCTGCCTCCTCTTCCTTAGGAGCTGAGGGGAGGGATTTGATGGAGAGATCTCATTTAGGGCTGAGTGTTTCAAGGTCTCTCATGTGATATGTTAATACTATTGGTAACTCCTCAAAAATCTAACTCTAATATTAAGGAAATAATCTATTTATATTAAGCAGCAATTTCAAAGAGTTTGACATTTTATTGAGCAAGAAATTTTAAAAGATAAATTTTTTAGAGGTGAGAAGGTCACCATCTTTCTTATTCTGCCTAAACAAAGCACCTTCCCAAGAAGTCAATAGCTCACCATCACAACTGCGTTAAAAAGAACATCCAACAGCATTTAGAAGGCAGAGGTAGGTAGACCAAGGTCGCACTCAGCTACACAGTAAGTTTGAGGCCAGCATGGCCTATGTTACCTAAGACCTGTCTCAAAACCACAGAGAAGGAAAAGAAAGTTTCCGGCGGGATGCAGCTCAGTGGTACTATGCTGGTCCAGCATGTTCAAGAGCCTAGGTTCTAGTGTCAGCACTAAAGACAAACAACAACACTTCATGGGCAATTTTACATTGTCATTTTATAAAGCAGGGAAACAGGCTGGAGATATGGTTCAGTGGTAGAGTGCGTGCTTAGTGTATACAAGCAAGGTTCAGTCCCTAGTGCAGAGAAACAAAGAAAGCAGGGAAACATCACAGGCTAGCATTAGCTCAGAAAGCAGATCAGGGTCTTTAGGATATAACTGGTCCTTCAGGTGCCAGGCAACAGTGCCCCTCCTAGGGTCTAGGGACCTTTTTTAAAAAATCTTGTCTTTCTACCAAAACCAGGTCATGTCTGTTGGTGAGTAGAGTAAAAGTCACTCATCTCCATCCATCCTGCATTCAGATTTTCTCCTGTTATCAGTCACCTAAATACACACTTATGAATTCCTTCCTTTTTATAAGCCACTGACGCTAATGGGAATTCTTCCTCCTTTCCCAGTATTACTTTAGCATAGAGGACGTATGCATATTTGTATTTCCTAAGTTGGTATTGTTCTTTTATAAAACATAGGTGTGCAGACACCCCTAGAAGTAGTGCCAGTCTCTGAGGAGCAAGTAAATGACTGGATAACTAGCAAAGATGGCACGCTATCTAAAGCCTGATTAATGATTCACAATGATGCCTCTAAAAATAAACAAGGCCTGGCTAGACTGTGCTTCATTTCCCTTAAGGTGGCCAATTAAAACCTCTAAGGCCAGCAAGCTTTCCCAATTGCCCATTCCAAAAACTCAGAGCAACTCTGTCTCTCGGCCAGAAGCCTACAGCTTCTGAGAGGCCTACATAAAGTTGTTACGGGAGTGCTGTGGCATTTCAACAAGTCCTTCTTCTTCCATCCTCGCCCGTCATATAGGGCAGCAGCCTCACCCATAAGACTGAACTTTCCATGAGAAGTAGACAAAGCAATTGCCATCAAAACATTTCTGGACACTGGATGTCTTCCTGACAGTCTACCAGTCTACCTTGTATACAGTCATCTTCATTGTCAATAAGAAGAGAACAGCTCAAACACAGAATTGTTTTGGTCTCTTTCATCCTGTTATTGTAACACATCTGTAGCCATATTTGTTTGGTATTGGTTTTTCAAGGACTTGTGGGGCAACGTTATGGACAGGATTTTGTGTCCCTCCAAAACTCATACTGAAGTCTTAACTATCACTCCTGCATCTGGACACTGGGCCTCTGAGGAAGCGACGAGGTCGAGTGTGGTCAATGCGTGGGGCTATTGCCCTTCTAAGGGAGGGCACCAGCACTCTTTCCACATACTAAGACACAGCAGGAGGCATCCTCAAGCACAAGACAGCCCTTCAGAGGAACGGGACTGGCCAGCACACTGTCCTGCGAACTCTCCAGCCTCCAGAATGGTAAGAAGAAAATTTCTGTTTTTTAAGTCACAGTTTATGGTATTTTGGTGTATGAGCCTAAGAGAGGCAAGAATGTACTCCTACTGTTTTGCAAGAATGTGTCTTTGAGGCCTTTGTAAGTGTGTGTTACTGTAGTAGAGTGAAATACACCTCAAATCCATTCCAAAGTACTCACTCTCCTAGCAGAAGAGGCAGAGAAGGTGTTCTGAGCTGGGGCTGGGATCTGCTCCATGATACGACTCTTGCTTTCAGAGTTGGAATGGCTGACAGTGGCTTCTGGCTTTTTATCTGTTATTTAAGACAAGAGAAGCAATAAATATAAATATGGAAATCTTATCTTTGTGTGTATAAATCCCTTTCTATTAAGGAAAAAATGTTCTGTCATTATCAAAGCAGGTTATTAGGACATGGGATGTCTGAATTCACACTAGGACAAATTCTAGCAACTGTGGGTGGAAGAAAATAAACTCAAGGATATCCTTATCTTGGTAGGCTCCAACTTCTGATAAAAAAAAATGTCTCCACATTAGAGTGTGAGTGAGTGTGTGTGTGTGTATTTATATCGTATGCAAAATTCATCATTATAAAGAATCTGTTCAGTTCTGTAGGGAAGTTGGCTGGGAAATGAAAACAGAAAATGCGTAAGACAGACTTTGCTTTCTAGGTAATTACAATAAAAAAAGACACATTATAATAATAAAAACACAAGATCTTATGGTTGATTCAGATCAACAGGTGCTGTAGATTTTAAAGAAGGGCAGAGCCTCTGAAAGCTGATACAATCATTCAAGATTCTCTAAAAAGCTCCAGAGAAAGTGGAAAGACAGACGGATGTAGAGGAGGAATGATGTCTCGGTGATCACAATCACACATCTGTTGGTTAGTAAGTGACTGGCCTAATTTAAGGAATGAGTAATTCCTGGAGTTACAATAGGCCCTAACAGGAGAAAGGATTCCAGGGCGTGTTGATTAAGTTTCAGAACTTTAGTAAACGGACCCACATAGCTAGGCGTGGTCCAGCTCAGCAGGGTCAGCAACCAGAAAGCTGTCTGCCTTACATATGGCTGTGTATCAGTTAACAACTAGCACGGAGCCTGTACCCAGTGGCTATGATTCTGGTATTTATGCTCTGAGAACAGATCCAGAGTAAACTTCATGGATCCTGTGATGATAATAATAAGCTATATCTAACTGTGTGACACTAAGTTACACATCTATATTTGAAGCTCTGTTTTCTAATTAACTAGAGATTTAAAGAATTATTTATTTATTTATATATTTTTTAAATGCATGAGTGTTCTGCATGTATACCTGCATGCCAGAAGAGGGCACCAGATCCCATTATAGATGGTTGTGAGCCATCATGTAGTTGCTGGGAATTGAACTCAGGACCTCTGGAGGTGCAGCCAGTGCTCTTAACTGATGAGTCATCTCTCCAGTCCCTAACTAGAGATTTTAATTTTTGCCTTAAGAGTGTTTTTATGAAGATTAGAAATAGTACTTTTAGACTGCATATCTCATTGGCTATAGTAAGCCTCTTTCTGCTTTTAATACTATCATTTCATAGTTATTATAATAATCAAGGCATTCTCTAAGTACTAAATATATCTAAACTCCCAAGAAATCCAGCTTACAAGCCAAATGAAATAGATCGTTACAGTACTGGCTGCCGATGCATCGTGACTCCCCCTATTAGGGCCTATTGTAACTCCAGGAATTACTCATTACTTAAATTAGGCCAGTCACTTACTAACCAGCCTCATGTAGTGCCTTTTTCACATTAACTCTGGGCCTCTGGGCTTGAACAGGTTGCTTGCTACAGCCTCTGAAACATCAGCAATTGAGACACTCAGCCTTGCCCTCTTAACTCATTTCAGAATCCAGCTGCCACATGAAGAAACAAGGGCAGGCCTGCTGGATGAAAGGAGACCACTTGTCCCAACCATCGGAGACACCACTTGTCCTAACCATCGGAGCCACCACAGACGCACGGGCGATGCTGTCTAGGACCAGCTGTCCCTCCATACGCCTTACTAGTTGAAGGTACAAGCATGCACACCATTGCCTTAAGGAAGAGACAAGCTATCTACCGGATCCCTTCCCCAATTGTCAAGCCATAGAATAGCATTCACATAAAGAGCCTCTGTTTTTTCAGCTCCTTCCCTCCCCCACCCCCACTGAGACAGAGTCTTATGTAACTCAGTGTGATGTCAAACTGGCTATGTAGCAGAGGGTGACCTTGAACTTCTGATCCTTCTGCTTTTACCTTCCAATTGCTAAAATTACAGGAGCGTGCAGCAGGCCAGGTTTTATGCAGTGCTGGAGAGCTAACCCAGGGCCTTGCATAAGCTAGGCAAGCACTCTACAACTGAGCCAAACCCTAGCTCAAGAGTTACTGTTTTAAGCCATTAAGTTTGGAGGTAGTTTATTATGAAGCAATAGAGAATTAATATACAAAATACTTAAGTCAGATAAAAAAAGAGAACATAGAAATTCTAATCAAAATGCTTATATTCACCTCAAAATAGAATAGATATTTTTAATATAATACCAATGTCTAAGACACATGAGAACTATAATTTTTATGAGGTTGCATCTATAGATTTTTAAAAATGGGAGAAATGCATTCAGCAGATATTTGTTCATGTGATAAGCAACATCCAAAAAGGCTCAGGTAAGCCCACTTCCGTGCACTCACCCAGCATGTTTAATGAACACCTACATACAGAAGGCCATATAGCACACACAAAGATGGAGAAAACATGCAAGAATATTCAAATGCATCCAAAGCTTGTCTATGGGAACAGTAGAATGGGTGAGAAAAAAAAAACAGAAATAGTTTAAATATTAAGTAGCGTGAGAAAATTAATATAAAAGAGCTCCAAACAAATAGCTACTAAATCAACAGAGGAAAGAAACCCATGTATCTACACGGTAAGGTAATAAAGGTTGATTTGAGATGAGCTCTGAGACATGAGAAAAATTTTAGTTGGCAAAGAACTCCAGAAATGAGTAGGGAGTTCGCTAGAACCCTCTGGCTTCTGCCCACACCAGGGCACTGAAACTGCTCTCTAGTGACTGGTGACTTCCTAATCGCTGTATCATCCCCGCATGCTCCCATCACACTACTGCTCATCACTGCTGGCTTCTCTGAGGCAGAAATAGACTCTGGTTTTCCTCAACCTCCTGGTCATATATTTTTGTTTCCCTTACTAACATCACCTCAATTTCGAAACACAGAATGCCCTGAGATTCTTTCTCATATCTCTTCTATAATCTTTGGGAACCTCACACTTCTCTACGGGTTTTCAAAAATTATTTTATATGTGTGTTTGTCCTAAATGTGTATGTGTGCCACACGCCTACCTGGTGCCCGCTGAATGAGAAGAGAGCATCAGATTGCAGACATTTGTGAGCTGTTGTCACGAGTACTGGGAACTGAATTTGGGTCCTCTGCAAGAGTAGCAAGTGCTCTTAACAGCTAAGCTATCTCTCCAGCTCTCCTTTTCTACAGTTTTCATCTTCTATTTCTATACAGAGAATTTCCTCTGTCCCCTCCTACTTTGAGTTCTTTACCCAGTGAACAGTGCCACTGGCTAGCTATGAAACCTGGTTCACATAATGCCATACAGTGTCACTATCTTACTCTAAAAAGAGAGTGATAATAATGTATGCTCTAAAGTATGGTTGTGGGATTAAGTAAAATTGTTTAAGGGTATCGCAAAGTAAAAAGCACTATAGAGATGTACAGTTGTATTGTAATTCCAAGAACAAGTTATAATCTTTCCTACTAGTGAAGACCACTGATTGCATTTACCTCTCTCACATGACATGCATTTTATTTACATAATGCCTTTTATTCTCCTACTAGGTACAGTCAACAAAACCACTTAATGAATATGAATGGGGCTGTATGCTGAAACCTCGAGTATAATACTAAAGTCAGTGTCCCAGAGAAACTGGTAGGTACTAGAGCAGAAGCAAGTGCACAGTGCTATAGAGACAGAAATGAAGTGAAAAGCACAGGGCAGGAAAACACAGAAAAGGGCTTGTACTAGTTGCTATCTTCTAACAAAAGCAACCTAAGGAAGGTGGTGTGGCCCACAGGTCTAGGATCTACGGTCCATTATGGAAGGAAAGGTGGAGTAGTCAGGAGGAGAGGTGGTTGGCCACATCAGGTCTGCAGTCAGACAAATGCTTGTGCTCAGCTAGCCTCCGCCCCTCCCCCCCCCACCCACCCCCGCCCTTTCATGTAGCCTGGGAACCCAATCTACGGAATAGTGCCACCCAAATTTATGGGGTGTCTTCCCACTCCGATTATAACCTAATCTAGAAGGTCTTTCACAGACATGACCAGAAATTTGTCTCCAAAGTGATTCTAGATCCCATCAAGTTGATAAGATAACCATCACAGGTCTAGGTTCAAGTACTGAAGACTTAGTCCCTAGTTAGTGTCTATACTCACTGAGAGATGACTGGATCATAAGGGCTCTGACTTCACTGATGATAATGCATAATTTGGTGGCATTCTCAGGAGATAGTAGGAGGTAAGTAGGTCACTGGGAGTTGTTGCAGGGCATTTGATCATACTGTGAACCCCGAGATTGCGTTAACTAAATAAAATCAACCATAGGTAGAGAGGCACAAGCAACCAGTGACTGGAAACAACCCCAGAGTGTGAGGGGGAAGCTGGTAGGTCCGAGAAAGAGAGGCACAGGAAGTAGAAGGAAGGAATATCCAGTTGGAGGAGTTTTGTTTTCAGACAGAGTAGGACAGGCTCTCTTTCTGAGATAATGCCTGAGGGAGAAGGTTGATCCACTGCTTTCTCTGCCTCTCTGAGCTAGCAGATTTTTACTCCAGCATCTGGCTCCTGAGTCTTTACTGGTAAAATTAAAGGGCAGTGACTTAGTTAAAACAATACTGGTCTCCCTAAGAGGAGGCAGCTGAGGCAGCGTTGGGATGCCAAGGCTCTCCCAGCCCATGGCCTTAGTATCGAGGTGGCTGTGCAGAGGCAGTCAGCAGCTGAGGCACTGGTAGAATCAGGTGTAGTCATGGTGCAGCAGATATAAAAACAACAGGGAGTATCTTGATTCTCACCCTTATCTGTCTCTACTTCTGGGATGTTACACTGTGAGCATCTCTGTTCTACCACACCTCTCTGACACTATGACATTCTGCTCAATCACAGGCCCTGAAACATGGAGCCAGCTGACCGTGGACTGACATCTCTAAAACGTGAGTCAAAAATAAATCCCCTCTTACATAGTCCTTTCAGGTACTCATCACTACAATCTGAAAGACATTAATACAGGCTCCAACTCTTCTACCTTCCTGTATCAGAAAAACACTTCACTCTTCTAGACCCTACACTTTCTAAAAGAACCCACTCAACAAGTATTTATGATGGTTTGAAATGAAGTTGAAGGCACAAATAAACATTCAAGGCCAGGAATGCTGAGGTCATATTTGAGGAAACCAAGAAATCCAATTTAGCTACAATATGCTCCTGCCTATGTAGAGCAGTGGAAATGTCTGTTGGAGCTATATCTGAGGCTTTGAAGGCTAGGCTACAGGGTTTGGGACTTACTCAGCACGCAAAGATGGAATGAGGGCGCGGGCCATAGAAGATTGCTAAACAGAAGTATACTTTGATCATAAGGGTGTTGTCAATATTTTATTCCAACAGCAGTCTGTGCACTGGATAGTTTTATGTAAACTTGACACAAAGTAAAATCATTTGCAAAGAAAGAACCTCAATTAAGAAAATGCCTCCAGCGGGGTGGCAGTGCTGCATGCCTTTAATCCCAGCACTTGGGAGGCAGAGGCAGGCGGATCTCTGTGAGTTTAAGACCAGCCTGGTCGATAGAGTGAGTTCCAGGACAGCCAAGGCAACACAGAGAAACCCTGTTAAAAAAAGAAAGAAAAAAAATGCCTCCATAAGATCAAGCTATAGACAAACTTCTTGTACATTTTCTTAATTGGTGGCTAATGGGGGGAGGTCCCAGCCAATTTTAGGTGGTGCCATCCCTGGGCTGGTGGTTCTGGATTCTATAAGGAAGCAGGCTGAACAAGCCAGTAAGCAGCACCCCTCCAGAGCCTCTGCATCTGCTAATGAATCCAGGTTCCCCTGTTTGAATTCCTGTCCTGACTTCCCTCAGTGATGGACAATGGGTAGAGAAACATAAGGCAAAGAGAGCGTTTCCTCCCCAACTTGCTTTTGGTCACTGTGTTTAATCATAGCAATAGTAACACAAACCAAGACAGTCTGTAAGGAATAAGACCTGAGGCAGGAGTATAAATCATGAAGCAATAGCAACAGTTTTGGTAGCTCCCTCCCATTTTCTTAATACCATAGTGACTAACAACAACAACAACAACATAATGCAACATAGAACAAAACCAAATATGAATTCCAGATACTGTGTGAAGACTAGACTATGGGGGTACTCGGTAAATAATACAAATAACAAAAATACACATTTGTAACTTTTGGTGGGTGTAATACAAGCATTTTCAGAGCAAACTACAAATGATTAATAATAGAAAAAAATTTAAAAATTTTAAGTGGCTTCAGAGATGGACAAAGAGTCAGGAGCACTGGCTGCTCTTCCAGAGAACCTGGGTAACATTTCCAGCTCCCACACAGCAGCTCACAACCATCTGTAACTCCAGTTCCAGACCGATGCTGTTTTCTGGCCTCTACAAGTACTGCATGCATGTAGTGCACAGACAATCAGGCAAAACACCCATATACATAAAAATAATAAATAATTTAAAGGAAATCTAAGGCTCCATGAATAAAAAGTCAATTCCCCTTTACTGAAAACTTATCTGACATCTGCCTTCTCTATAAAACTAATGGCATCTAACTTCCTTTGATGGCAGTCAATGAACCTCAGATTAAGACATGAAGAGCTGTATTGTCACTGATTGAGAGAAACTATCAGCAAAGTCAAACACCAACACACAGCCTCAGTCCTTCAACTTACAACAAACTAAAAATAATTTGGAAACAAAAACTATGATCTTGCATTTGTGCTAAATATATGTCGTTTTTGTTTTTTTCTTTTTTTCCAGGTCTGTGTCCTTACATTTTCATCATTTCCTAAACAATATAGTATAGGCGTTATTTACACTGTACCAGACAATATAAGCAGCTGAGAGATGGTTTGAAGTACACGGGCAGGTGCACACAAGTTCTACATAAACATTGTACCAACACACATGAGACTTGCACATCTAAGGATTTTGGTTATCTCCTGAGCCAGTCTCCCATGACACTGAAGGATACATGTATGTATATATTATTAATAAGAGTAATAAAAAGAAGTCTGATTTGTTCTTTCACAAATTCCCTCACTCGGAAACTAAAGAAGTTTGCAAAATAGGAAAATAAATTACAATTCAGTTTTCAGAATCAGAGTGACACAATAACTAAATGAAAGTTTTTACCAGTGTGTTGAAAACATGGGGCCTCAGTCTCTCTCTGAGCCCCATGCCTCTCTGCATGCTGGCTTCCTAGACTGTGGCTCATCTGTCAGTGGGTCCTCAGTCTCTCTCTGAGCCCCATGCCTCTCCGCATGCTGGCTTCCTAGACTGTGGCTCATCTGTCAGTCTCAGGGTAGGACAATTGGCTCCCTCAGCAAGATCTCTCTATGCACCTCACCGTATGGCTGCACTAGGACTGGCAGGTGCATGTTAACTGAGCTCAAGGTGTTTATAAGCATGCTGTCAATAGCAGCTCAATCTCCTGGGAACTGTACTTCAAGCTCTCTCTGGAAGCCTGTGAGGCCTGAGCAGCCTGACAGGCAGTGAACATGAAGGGCCTTTGCATTACCTGCCTCCTTCTCAGTTTCTGATTCAGAAACTTCATCTTCTCCTTCCTCTTCCTCTGAGCTGGAGCTGCTCGAGTCCTTGTTTTCTTCCTCTGTTTCTTGGGACTTGGGGCTCTCTTCCTCATAAAGCATCTTCTCCTTGCTAAATTAATTTGGAAGCAATTCAGAAAGGATAAACCATTTAAGCTCACTGACAATCAGGTTAATAAAAGGAACAAGTCTATAAATCTGTATGTAGAAGCAACAGTAAAAACATGGAAATCTTTCTTATACCTGTATGTTTTCTTGGACCCTTGGCTTTTCAACAATATAAGGCTTATTATTGACTTTAGAACATGACTCAATGATATTTTGTCTATTCAACATACAGATAAAAGAGAACCAAGAATGATAAGGGTAAGATGGTAATGGGCAGATAAATATTTTTAGAAGTCATCAAACAAATCTTTACTGAGTTTTATTACATCCCAGAAACCTCGCTAGATACTGAAACAGTGGTAAACAAAGGGACAAATTCTTGAGCTGAGGAAACACCCAATACAAGAAGCGGGAGGGCAGAACTAAGAACCTCCAGGCAAGGCTAAAAGAGATGATGCCAATACAGTTTCTCAGGGTAAAGCACATTCATTCATCCTCGGCTCCCCACCACATCAGTGCCATCTCCCCTCACCCCAAAACATTTTCACATCTGAAGATCATTTGACTAAAATCAAACATGAAATCGTTTTAACATCAAAATTCTCCAGGATCACCCACACAGAACACCAAGCCCATCTAATTCCTTGTATCTTACTTCTTAAAGAGTCCACTCTGAAACTTGCGGTTCAGGTCTGACTCGATGAGCTTATTCCGTGTCTCCTTTTCACTTCGAAGCTAGAAATTAAGAAAATAGAGAGAAAAGGAAAGAAGTTGACTATTTGTAAAAAACCAATAGTATCAAGAAGTGCCAAAATGGTACCATCATTCTGAAAAAATTAAAAATTAAAAAAACAGGACAAAATCAAAGAAGAAGAAGGGAATCCAAGAAAAAGACAAGCATACTGAGTGGTGGTGGTGCACACCTTTCATCTCAGCACTTGGGAGACAGAGAGAGGCAGATCTCTGAGTTCAAGGCCAGCCTGGTCTACAGTGTGTAGCCGGTATCTTTACATGTTGCTTGTCATGGTGGCGGCTGGCAGTGTCTCCTGACTCAGCCTTCCTGTTCCCAGCATTCTCCTCTCTCTGTCCTGCCTATACTTCCTGCCTGGGCTACTGGCCAATCAGCACTTTATTTATTAACCAATCAGAGCAACACATTCACAGCATAGAGACCATCCCACAGCAACAGTGTGAGTTCCAGGACAGCCAGAGCTACAGAGAAACCCTGTCTTGGAAAACAAACACATAATCTCTGTGCATCATGTCTCCTTGGAAGAAAGTTAACAGAGGAAAATCTTTTTCCAAAGTAGAAGTGAAACCATGGTCCTGGAAAGTCAAGAAAATTGTCCCTTCAAAATCTCAAATCAGACTACCAAGTGAGTCCCAGGAAAGGTGCAAAGCTACACAGAGAAACCCTGTCTCGAAAAACCAAAAAGAAAAAAAGAAAAAAAAAAAAAACTCAAATCAAAGCAAATAAGAAAAAAATAAATAAAAAGCCTAGCTTCTAAAGGATAAAGAGACAAAAGAAATCTGGGAAGAATGTTATTATCCACATACCAAAATAAGTTGTTAATAATTTTAATGAAATTGCAGGCAAATACTATATGGAAAATAAGTTATTATTTCTTCTATTAGATGTATGCTATTAGAATTAGTCTGATATTTAAATGTATATTCTAGATCAGCAGTTCTCAACATAATAGTAGCAAAATTACAGTTATGAATTAGCAACGAAATAATTTTATGCTTGGTGGTCACCACAATATGAGGAACTGTATTAAAGGGTTGCAGCATTAGAAAGGTCGAGAATCAGTGCTCTAGACAAAATATACTTATGTCCTTGGATCCTAAAGTTATGCAGAGGACAAAGAGAACCACCAACCCCTTTAGTATAGTAAGGGTATGTGGTACAGCTGGGCCTGGGTGTATAAGCCTATCGCACTGGTTACTAGGGAGGCTGAGGCAGAAGGATTGCAAGCACAGACTAGCCTGGGCTAAGGAATGAATTCAAATGGTTGGGGGAGATACCATTTATGCTCCAAACCCAATTACATTAGTTAAAGGGCGCAGACTATGGACTGAAATCTCTGAAACCATGAGTCAAGATAAATCTTCCCCTTACATAGTTCCTCTCAGGTACTTATCACTACAATAGAAAAGACATTGATACAGGCTCCAACTCTTGTAACTTTCTGTATCAGAAAAACACTTCACTCTTCTAGACCCTACACTTTCTACAAGAACCTACCCAAAGAGTATTTAATTTGAAATGAATCCGGCTGGGTGGCAGTGGTGCACACCTTTAATCCCAGCACTTGGAAGGCAGAGCCAGGTAGATCTCTGTGAGTTCGAAGCCAGCCTGGTCTACAGAGCGAGATCCAGGACAGGCACCAAAACTACACAGAGAAACCCTGTCTTGAACCCCCCCCCCAAAAAAAAATGAATTCAAAGGCACAAATAAACATTCAAGGCCAGGAATGATGAGGTCATATGCTGTGGAATAATGCTTTTGTACGCTGGTTTAATGAAATGCTGATTGGCCAGTAGCCAGGCAGGGAGTATAGGCAGGATAAGCAGACAAGGAGAATACTGGGAAGAGGAAGACTGAGTCAGGAGATGCTAGCCCACCGTCCAGGGAGTAGCATGTAATGGCATACAGGTAAAGCCACAGAACACATGGCAATATATAGATTAACAGAAATGGGCTGAGTTTAAGTGTAAGAGCTAGTCAGTAGTTAGCCTGAGCTAATGGCTGAGAAGTTTTAATTAATATAAGCCTCTGTGTGTTTACTTGGGTCTGAGCAGCTGCAGACTGGGCGGGACACAGGAAAACTTTCAGCTACAAATGGCACCCAGACATGGCGCAAGAATTTCCACTCAAAACATGAGAAAGCTTTAAAAAAAAGTGTTCTAAAATGGAGCCAAGAGCAGCTTCCTAGTTGTGTCTCTCAGGAAAGCTGTGATACAGAGATGCAACATCCTGTGGGCTTGGGCTACAGTATGGCGTGTTCATGGCGTATGGGCTTCAGCACAGCATGGCGGATTCCTGCTACTATACACAGTGGCTTCTGTGATCCGCACAGTGCACTGTGTGGTGGATTTAGTTTTTGATAGTATAAAAAAAAAAGGGAGGGGGAGTTTCTGGGCTACATACTGCTTTGATAGAGGCTTAGATCCCCTGCCTCCCAGAATCAGCAAAAAATTATTTCCACCATGTTAGAAAGCTGAGGTGGGTGCAGATAGCAGCCAAAGCTGCCATTTAAGTCCTAGTCATTCTACAGTTTAAAACAATAGATTCACAAACAAATCAGATTCAGATTAAATAAACCTCTAAATGGTTTACAGTATATGTAAAAATGTACATAGGCTTGAAAGAGAGAGGAAAAGGAATATAGACATATAAAGAAATAGTTTTTAGAAATAAAGTCTTTAAAGAGTAAAAGTAATATAAAAATATGGATATCACACAGAGAGTCTGGATTATGTTGTCTTTGGGATTTTTAACTGCAGAGAGATACTTGAGTGTAAAAGCTGCTGAGTTAAATTAATATATATTTTAAAGATATCTTGATTTCAAAATTTATGCCTAAGGATATGTTGCTTTGGAAAAGAGGTTCTGCTTTTGTTTCCACAGAAGATAAGAACCTCTGGATTGCTTCCAGGCTAAATATGGATTGACTAGCCAAGACCCCCTGAAAGGTCTCCAATGACACCATAGCCCAGATGATCCAACAACCAGAATGGTTTCAAGGCAACTGGCTCAGACAGTGCAGCCTCACAGACTACTCCCATCAGGACTTGACCATAATTCTTAATTTTCTTAGGATCCCCATAAGAATACAGTGCCCTTTATTAGCAGAAAGTAGCCTAGAAAACTATGCCCACATTCCCAAAAAAATGGATTATAGATGTTTGTCTTTGTTTAGGTTGTTGGTTACAGATGGTTATAGGTCATAGTCAATATCTTTCTAAAGAAAAAAGGGGGCTATGATATACATACAATAGGATGAAAGGGTGGATTATTGAATCTATTTTTAAAGAGCAACTTGTTTAAAATGTTTTACATTGCTATGGATTTTAGTTTATAGACACAAATTTAGAGCTGATTTTGTTATACTTTATATATATATTTCTACTCTCATTTAAAGTATTTTGTTTATGTAACTCATTTAAATTATAATGGATAATTAAATACAGTTTAATAATTAGTCTTCTATGATAGTCAAACTTATAGTCATGTTAAGTTTTCTAGGTATACATAGATATAATTCAATTAGGTAGGCAATCTTCAAATACTTTAAAGACCTACAAAACATGACATTTAAAATGTTTTAAAAACTTAGACTTTCTGGACAGTGAGACACGTCTGCTCCTGGCAGCATTGGTTTATTTTAAAGAGAAAGATGGGCATCGAAGACTCCATATGGAGTTTATCTTCTTCTTGGCAAAAATAGGTATTTGGGCAAGAAAGTGTTCTTGCCTGGACTGCTTGACAAAATGTTGTATAGACTGGACATGCAGGACCCACAGGAAGGTGACCACTGAACTTTGCATGGCAAAATGGTCCTTCAGGTTCCTGCTTCACAGAAGAAACTGCCAGACATTCTCTAAGACACAGAGAGAAGTGACTGAGAGACTAGGCCTATGGGCTGAAGATGGATGCCCCAACGCTGTAGAGGAACTTTGGATGACTGTCCAGGCAGCCAGCCGTCTCTGTCATTCTAGATTTTTGGAAGTTGCTTACAATGCACTTCCTGTTTACTTAGGTAATATTATATCCTTCTGAGGTCTTTGATGTAGTTGAAGACTAGATAGTTAAAATTTCCTTAGTCATGATAAAAGAGAAGTTAGATATGAAACCTTAGACTCACAAATATAAGATAAACAGAATATTTTCTTTGAATTTGCCAAATATAAATAGACTAGATACTGTAACTGTAATTCATGCTTGATAATTGTTTTGTTATATATAATTTTACTATGTTAAAGTTAAAACTTTCCCTTTTTAATTAAACAGAACAGGGGAAATGCTGTGGGATAGTGTTTTTGTACACTGGTATAATAAAACACTGATTGGCCAGTAGCCAGGCAGGATAAGTGGGATAAGCAGACAAGGAAAATTCTGGGAAGAGGAAGGCCAGAGTCATGAGATACTAGCCCACAGTCCAGGGAGCAGCATGTAACAACACACAGGTAAAGCCATGGAACACATGGCGACATACAGATTAACAGAAATGGGCTGAGTTTAAGTGTAAGAGCTAGTCAGTAGTTAGCCTGAGCTAATGGCCAACCAGTTATAAATATTATTAAGCCTCTGTGTGACTATTTTATAAGCAGGCCACGGGACTGCAGGGCCCAGGCAGGACTGGAGAAACTTCTAGCTACTGTCATATTTGAAGAAATCAAGCAATCCAATTTAGCAAATTTAGGCAATTTTTATGTGAGTCTAAATTACTTTAGAGGACAAGATTTTACAAAAAACACAGAAATTTAACTATGCAAAACAGAGCTCTAGCCTAAAGAAGGATGCTGCTGTGGTAATAGCATTAACACTGAATTTGGAATGTCCTAGCACTTAGCTGATCCCAAATACTTGGCAAAGAAAACAAATGAGCTTCATGTACATAGCTTTCTAAATGAGCCCTAAAGTAACAAGAATTCTGCTTCAGGGGGTAGAGATGGCTAAGCTGCTCTTCCAGAGGACTTCCCAGCACCCACATGGCAGCTCACAACTGTCTGCCATGTACCAGGTGATCCAACACCTTTACATCGATGCACATAAAATAAATTACTTTTAAAAAAAAGAGTTCTGGGGCTGGAGAAATGGCTTAGAGGTTAAGAGCACTGACTGCTCTTCCAGAGGTCCTGAGTTCAATTCCCAGCAACCACATAGTGGCTCACAACCATCTGTAATAAGGTCTGTTGCCCTCTTCTGGTCATACATGCTGTATACATAATAAATAAATAAATCTTTAATTAAAAAAAACCATGGATGGGGGAGGGACTCTTCTATTAAAAAAAAAAAAAAAAGAGTTCTGCTTCAATAGTCCAGACATGATGCCAAATACTCCTCACATTAGATACACTGATTTGTCATATCTCTGAGTTATACAGTTCTGAATCAAAACCCACTCTATTTCCCACATCTGTCCTAAACTTAGGTTCAAATACCCTGCACTATATGCAAGCAGAAAAAAATTAAGGAAAGCTAGTACGTTTTTTTTTTTCTTTCTGTCCTACACTAATTTTATTCCCCTGTCCAAATTACCCATTGGCAGAAAATGAGTTGGTCCCTCTTTACCTGTGTACCAGAGGTGGTTTTCCATTCACGAGCAGCACAAATATGTAGCTCTGCTGCAGAGCACCAAGCAGAAAGGCAGATGAAATCAATGAAGGTTTTACAGTAAGGAGGAGAGAGAAGAGGACTGTTTCATCCATCTGAAGTAAGTGCGAATCACTAACCAAGTACTGTCCAACACCACAGTTGGACACCTGCAGTATTACTGACTTCGTTCCTCTCTGTAATCGACTTCTAGCTGCCTGTAGGCTACTTCATGCTAAGTAGCTTTATAACCTAGTCTCTTTAAGCAGACTGTTGATAGTTTCTGAAAGGAACAAATAACATCTGTGAAAGGCAGATACATCCGGTTCAACTCTGAACCAATGGCACTGAAGCAAGAGACAGAGACACCCAGGGTAAACTATAAACTGCTAAGAAAGCCTTGAAAGCATCAACCAGACTTACCACAGTTTGCTTCTTCTGAAGCATCTCCAAGTGCTCCACAAGACCTTCATCAGCCACATCAAATGGCGTCTGGCCCTAGCAGGACAAAGGGGCACCGTGACAGATAGAAAACAGAAGCAGCAATCATGAGACATCACCAGGGACTATTCTCTATTTACTTGCTGTCTTTTACTCCTAGATACAAGCTGAGTGTCCTTTATCCAAAATGCTTAGGAGAAGAGCTTTGGATTTTAGGATATGTATATATATGCTCATCTTGAGATCAGGACCCAAGTACAAGCACAAAATCAATTTATACTTCACATATAGCCTAAAGATGGTTTTGTATAATATTTTATGGTATGGATAAAAATTCATGTATGGAATTTTCCACTTGGGGTATCATATCAGAGCTCACAAAGTCTCAGCTCACAAGCATTTCAGGTTTTAGACTTGGGTTAGAGACGCCCAGCCCATAGCCAGCTCCCTAACCTGTCTGCTCTACATTGAGATGCCTTCTTCATACATCACAGAGCAGACACTTTAAGGAACAGCAAAATGGTTTAACCACAGGGTTTGTTGTGTCCAACGGTACTGAGGAAATGTTGCAGTGGCACCTTTTCTAACGCTATGGCCTCTTGACATAATCAAGGGGAATCCCTATTTATAAATTCTATTCTAAAGCATTATTGTGATGACAAATTCACTAAGTGCCCTTTAAAGCCTCAAAGGAAAGCTTGGGGCACAGCCACACTGAAGACCAATAGGAATGAGCTCCCTTTAAGATAGAGGAGAAAAGACAGGAAGGTTATTTCTTTTAGGAAACACCAGTACAATTACATGCTCTGGCCCATAGTCTGAGAATGAGACCTGGATTCAGGAGTTACACGAGACAGACAAAACCATGTGTCTGGATTCTAGAAAAATCAAGCGATGTGGGATAAGAGTCCCAGGACTTCTAAGGTGTTTGGAGTGAGAGTGAGGACTGCTTTCAGTCAAAACTGAATAACCTTTGCCATCAGTGATGTTCTTGAATGACTCCATGTGCAGAGAGCTCGGCTGCTCAAAGACTGGGTTGAAAAGAGAGTAAAATCCTTCCTGTCTCACCACAGACAGGACATTAGGTTCTCCAAGTTCATTTGTTGTCAAGAGCAGCTATCTCTTTTCATTTCCTTTTGTTTTAGGGGCCTCGACACAAGCAGAAACAGATGACACGGCTGGTGGACTTGTACTTGACCAATAATGAGCAGCGAGGCGAGGCGGCGGAGGTGGACAGCACAGCTACAGTGACGCGCACCCCCAGAACCGCCAGCTGGGTCTCAGCGGAGCCTTGCAGCCACGCCAGGCCCGGGCACCTGATCTCCCTGCCCTTCGAGAGGGTCAGGCTCACTAACCAGTTTGTTCCGGATATCCATGTCACAGAGAGCTTCTGCCAGGATGGAACAGGCCTCTTTCACTCCCCAGTGTGCGGCAGCATGAAGAGGAGTCCAGCCATCATGGTCCTGGACATTGAGCTCATAGCCAGCCTGAATTAAAAGTCTAGAAGGGAACCCAAAAAGCACATTTATGCCCTTGATTTTATAGTTTTCTACTAAATAAGCTCTCACTCCACTGATACTTCAGTTGCGGGATAACCTCCAGATACCCCGTGATTCCTCTAAGGAACAGCCTGCAATTCATATTACTGCTTTGAGCACCAATTACCATCTTTACTGAACCTCTCCGTAAGATTATACATATGGCATTCTCGACACACTTCCATGATACACTGTGCTGGCTAGTTTCTGTCAACTTGACATAAACATGGATTACCTAGGAAGAGAGAACCTCAACTAAAGAACTGCCTCTACCAGACTGGCCTATAAACATGCCTGTGGGGCATCTTCTTAATAGCTAATGATGGGGGAGGCCCAACCCACTGTGGGCAGTGCCATCTCTAGGCAGGCGGGTCTGAACTATATAAGCCAAGTAGCTGAGCAAGCTAGAGGAAGCAAGTCAGTAAGCAGCTTTCCTCTTGCCTCTGCTCCTGCTTGAGCCGCTGTCCTGACGTCCTTCCCTCGGGGATGGACTGCCATCAGGACATAGAAGGCAATAAGCTTTTTCCCCCCTAATATTGCTTTATTCGTAGTGTTTGTTACAAGAGGAACACACAGAGCAGTGTGTACCTAAGACCAACTAAAACCTAATTCAATTAGCCAAGTTACACAACTCTACTACAGGGTACACTTTGCATTTTCCAGTTCAGACAGGAATTCACATATAAAATGGGGAGTCAAATAGCTCTAGGATACTTTACCAATGAGCTTTGTAGGTGACCTTTATAGAACATGACTGTTTTCTGTAGAATCCCATACCTCCAATTCTAAAAATAGAGGGTTCTAGCTAACCATAAAGCTACAGACTGACTTGATCCATGTTATGCAAGAGGAAAAACATGATTTCTAAAATCCAGATTGTACTGTGCTATCCTCTCAGGGACTGAGCAGCATGACTCCCATGTTCGGGCAGAAACAGAAAAAGCACCGACACACTACTGTACCTACTAGAAAGGCACCTTAGGAAGCATGTGCACACTGGAAGAGTCCGGCAACAACTGCACATACAGTGCCATTAGCACCCCTGGGGGGCGGAAATTCTGTCAACACTAATCACTGCGAGCCACACAACGCATGACTGCAAGAAAAGTGAACCAAGTAACATAGCAGAGTCCAACTCTCTTTGCCTGCTCTTCTAAATTACATTTCTGCATTGATTCATCTGATGCGCATGTGAGTATGTTTGGGAGGGCACACACATGCCACTGTGCGCAACTGGAGGTCAGAGGACAACTCGGAGGAGTCAATTCTCTTTTTCTACCACACAGGAGATTGAACTTAGGTCATCAGGTTTGGTAGTGGATGTTTTTACCCATGGAGTTATGTGTGGGTGTGGGTGTGTGTGTACACACAACTGTCTAATTCTCATATGAAAACTGGATATTGCATACTCGAGATCTATAATTGATCGAATGAGCCCAGAAATCGTCTAAATCATAGAACCAGAAAGGTCACAGGTCTGTACAGTCAGAGGAGGAGGTTTCAGGAGAGCCGATGACACATCACGGACCTGAGAGAGGTCTTCCAGTGCCACTGTGCCTCAAGTGTATCTAACACCATGTACCTGAGGAACAGGGACCCTAAGAGGAAGGGGGACCACCCACAAAGGAACACCAGCAAAATATGAGGACAATTTACAAGGAAAGAGGAAGCCAACAAGAAAACCCACCGTAGTTAAAAAGGTAAGGACTTCTGCTTCTAAGACTCGTCTCTCTCCCCCTAGGCCCCAGCTACACACCTGAGGACTTCAGAGTAGCCCTTGGCAGCAGCGACATGCAGGGCTGTGGCCCCGGAGCGAGCCTGCCTCACGTCTTCTATTTTCCCACTGTTGAGCCACTGGCGGGCGTCCTGCAGCATCTGCTGCTCTTCCTCCTTTCTTGACTGCTCCAGGTCAACGCCTGCAGAAGCCAGACACCAGACAGCAGCGTTACTAAAGCCACCCATGTCTGACAGGTGTTTCCTCTCGAGCCAAAACATACAGACTTTACCACAAATAACAGTTTCCCCACCAAGCTGGTAACTCATTCAATTTAAAGCAATGGCATTTGTATTACAAAATTAGCAATGCTAAATAGCCAGGCTAACCACCGTGTGGTACACATTCATGAAGGGAACATACCTAACATTGTTTTCAGCAGAACATAAAACCAGAGGGGATATTGCTTTTACTCCACAGTATTTGTATGAAGCTATAAATGCCAAAGTACTTTCACATGTGATATGATCTTAGTTTCCTAACAAGCCCGTGGGTTAACTACAACAGCTATTACTAGCCTCACTTGCCATGTGAAGAAAGAAACACAGGAAGGCTGGGTGCTCTGCATATGGTCACACACACACCCATCAGTGGCAGGGCTGCCATTAGGACTCCTTGATGCTCTTGGCTCTTTTCCACGCACTACACCACAAGATGACTATCAAAGGTCTTCATTTCGGGTAGGATATACTGTGGAAAAGTGCACTCCTCCTAAAGCTCATTTCCATATGCACTTGCACACACTTACCTGAAGCTACACAGAGCAACCAGAGATTAATAGGTGATCTGAAGCCAACACTTAAGCGTTTGCTTTTAAGGCAATGTAGATTTTGTTTCCCTTACAATCATATGGAGGTACTCCCAAGAAGAGTTCTTCCCTTTATCCAACAACTCTCCAATATCTAGGCCAGTAAAGAAGGGTCTTAAGAAAGGACACTCTTCATTATACAAAATAATGAAATATTCTGAGTACAAACACACCCATTCAAAAGGTTCTGTACTCAAGTATACTTTCTCTGAGCGTTTAGTCTTCTTTTTGGCTCTTAAATAAGAAGCTATGAACTGTTAGAGAACTGTCTGTCTGGGGAGATGCACAGGTGAAGAGGAAGCCTATTTAGACACAGTGAAGCATACAGACAAATGCTGTTTCCACAGAGCACAAGGGAAGACTCAGCAATCAAAGTCAACAGAGTGGACTCTCAAACTAAAACCTCATTTAAATTTGTAAACTGTAAAACATTTTAGGAGATGAATGGGGGCTGGAGAGATGGCTCAGAGGTTAAGAGCACTGGCTGTTCTTCCTGAAGTCCTGAGTTCAATTATCAGCACCCACAATGGTGGCTCACCACCATCTACAACTGTAGTCCTAAGGCATCTAATACCCTCTTCTGATGTGCAGATGTACATGCAGGCAAAATATCCATACACATAAAATAAGTAAATCCTTTTAAAAAACATATTTTAGGAGATGAAATGAGTGAGATGAGAGGATAAACTTAGTATAAAAACTTTTAATTCAGTAAGGCACAAAACAACAGGTGGACTTAGGTAATAGCATAACCTAACTATCCATCCATCACTCAAGGCAGGCTTAGTTAGTGTACCTTCTCTAAAAGGCGAGATACTTCAGGTTTCCTTGCAGATTTGCCAGTCCTATGGTTTGCCATGACTACTCACCTCTGCTGATGCAGCATAAAAGCAGCTTTGGATAATAAACAAGCAAGTGTGGCCAGACCTGGCCCTAACTGTTCTAAAGGACCATAGCACGAAAAGACTAAAGCTTTGGTTATTCAGAAGAGCTTCCCCCTATCTCCAGTCGCTACAGATCCCATCCAGAGTTTCATGATAGTTTTAACAGAATCCTAAAACCTGCTGTCCATGGTTAGTCAATAACTTTACATTGAAAAAATTCAAAAGCTAGGTGTGGCGGTGCTTGCCTGTAATACTGGTAGGGAGAAAGGAGATTTGAGGCATCTGTCCATGGACAGCCTGGACAATACTGGGTATAAAAACAAAACAAAATGACTTTGAGGTGTCCAACAGGAGAGCCCCACCTTATTCCCAGAAATTAGTTTCTTCTAAAACTACAAAAGAGGAATAAACAATTTCAGAATATAGTCTTCTAAGTTAGGTTTCTTTCCTCAAGAAACTATGAGAACCAGGCATGGTGGCTCACACCTGTAAATCCCAACATAGGGAGGCAGAGGCAAGAGGTCTGCTGAAAGTCTGAGGACAGTCCAGGATACAGAGTGAGCTCTAGGGTATGTGTAGCTATGAAGTGAGACCCTGTCTCTCAAAAACACAAACATACAAACAAAAGAAACTCTCAGAATAGTTTCCATGGTTACTACAGCTCAAGACCCTTCAGAGGTCTTAGGAAACAGCCTCCCAGTACCACTTGCAGCTCTCAGAGGAAAACGACACAGTCACAAAACGCATCTGGCCACACTCGAGTCCAGCCCTTCTTCAGCCGACCCTGTGCGGCACAAGTGATACAAAGTACACACACACAAAGAACAGTACACAATCTTCCTCCGGTCACTCCTAACTCCAAGATCAGTACACAACCTTAGAATAGCAAAGACAAGGAAGGCCTGGTCATCATTTTGGCATCCGGCCTAGGCTTGTATGAGTTATTAAGAGGTCTGATGACGAATGCTGTGTGGACAGATTTAATCCTGCCCTGTCACATGATAAGGGGCAGTGTGAGAGCCTTGCTAACCAGCCGCTCTCCTAAGTTACCTTGCTTCTTTACTTGTTCCAGAAGAAGGTCTTTCATGGCTGGCTCTTCTGCAAGGTCAGAAGGAACTTCACCCTCGCTGTTCACAATACCCACACTGGCTCCATGGCTAATAAAATACCTGTGTGGCAAAAATCAATATTATTTCTGTCAATCTGAGATCAGTTTGTACTGTGTCTTGAGTTCAATGTACAGCAAGGCATACTTGGGAGTTTTAAATACGGTACAGATGAGGTGGTTTCATATTCATTTATTACTAATTTCATACCCTAGTAGTCTTCAATAATTAGGACCATAGATTTCCCATTTCCCAACAAAAGCAATGTTTTCTTACATACTAATATTTACTTATATACTTCTTTTTCTTACAAAACCAAGTAAAAAAAGATTTCTTACATATGCATATTCCTAACACCAATTCTTACACTTCTAGAAACACTAAGACTTTCTAAATACTATAAGGAGCAGCATGGGGTGGGGTCTTAGGCCAAGCCTGCATCCTAGCACTCAGGATGTTGAGGCAGGAGGAGCTGAAGTTAGAGTCAGCCGAGCCTATGTGCTGAGTTCACGACGAGTCTAAACTACAAAGTAAGACCTCAACTTGGTGCGGTGAAACAGGGAAGGCATGCAGCCCCCAGTCACACAACCTAGGATCCAAATAAACGTTCAAAAAGACTCCCTACACTGCTAGTATTAGAAATAAGAACATTTCAAAGCTAAAAGTAAATAAGCAGTCCCATGAAAATTTGTTTGCAGTGCTAAGGTGAAGGCTGCTTAGTAGTGCTGTATGTGTGAAAACTGAAGACTAAAGTATGTATTCGAATTGGCATGAATTCATCTTCCACAAAACAAGTCATCTATAGGAATCTGCATTCATAAAGAAAACTAACTTACTGAAGAAACATTTAAAATGCTAAGCAGATTCTGCATCCATGCAGAATATGTATCCTGAAGAAAAAAAAAGGCTGATAATTTCAATACCTTATCTTTTTAATTTTCAGTGTCTTCTCTCTCTCTCTCTCTCTCTCTCTCTCTCTCTCTCTCTCTCTCTCTCACACACACACACACACACACACACACACACACCAATTTAAATAGAATTATGCTGAAGGCACTGTAAATGCAACTGAGCACTCTTACCCTCTAATTTAAGGAACTGAGGCTCCCACACCAACTGTGGGGAAGAGGGCACTTGCTGACAGGCCCAACCGTCTGGGTTCGACCCCTGAACAGTGGAAGGGGAGAACGAACCCCTACAAGCGGCCCTCTGACTTTCATATGGAAACTATTGCACACACATACACACAAATTACATGCAAAAAATACCAATGTTGTTAAAGAATCAAAGTTCAAACATGTTAAGTAATTTTCTCAAGAAAAAAATTTTAAGTAAGAAAAAAAGTAATTTTTCTCAAAAACACATAACTAGTACTGGCAGAAGCTATTAGGCTCAGTCTTTTGCATGTAAGTTTAGATCAAATTAGTTTTAGGCCAATTAGAATCCCAACAATACGCCAGGCAGTGGTGACACATGCCTTTGATCCCAGCACTCAGGAGGCAGAGGCAGGCGGATCTCTGTGAGTTCGAGGCCAGCCTGGTCTACAGAGTGAGTTCCAGGACAGCCAGTGCAACACAGAGAAACCTTGTCTTAAAAAAACAAAAACAAAAAGTTAAATAAATAAATAAGTAAATAAATGATCACAATAATTCTAGGACTACTATCAGACACTCAGAGGTACTAAAAAGGTAAAGAAAAACTATGTAAATTATCTTCCAATTCATTCAGAGATTCAATGAACATCAACAATTAAATCAACATTTATTGATCTACTACGATGATATTCAAAGAACCACATTTTTAGTGTGTTAGACTTTTTTTAATCAATATATGTATGGGCCATGTATTTGAGAATTGGCAAAGAAGAAAAAAATCAATAAAAATGAAATTAAAAACATAACTGTGCTTTCTTAGTGCCTAGTATCCTGGAATAATAGGGCCTCAATAAATGTTGATATATCAACTACACATATATACCGCTTGTGGTGGTTTGAATATGAATGGCCCCCACAGGTTCACAATTGAATCCTTGGTCACCAGGGAGCGGCACAGTTGAAAGGGTTAGGATGCATGCCCTAGTTGGAGGAAGTGTGTCACTGGGGGTGGGCTTTAAGATTTCAAAAGTCCACACCAAGCCTAGAGTCTCTCACTCTTCCTGCTGCCTGCAGAGCCAGATGTAGAACTCTCAGCTACCTCTCCATGTCTGCCTGTGTGCCGCCATGCTTCTTGCCATGATGACAATGGACTAAACCTCTGAACAGTCCCAATTAAATGCTTTCCTGTATAAGGGTTGCTGTGGTCATGGTGTCTCTTCACAGCAATAGAACACTGCCTAAGACACAGTTCAATGGCATTTCCTCCCTCAGAGACTCAGAGAAAGATATCTTACTCGAGACTACAATAAATTCCCTCTATCCATATTTTTAGGTCTGCCAAATGCCACCATTGTATCCAATTATTCCCTCATTACTCCATAGTCAGTAGTTTTTCCTTTTCTAGTTTCTTCCCTCAAGCCAAATGAGCGTCCACCTATACCTCCTGTGCCCTGAAATACAAATAATATACACAATAAGCGCACAATAAATTCTGGTTAAACTGAAATATACACTCTAATCAAACCCAATCATTTACTAGTTCCCCCAGCCCCCAACTCCTAGCCCCTTCACACCCAGCTCTGCTCCTTAGGGTGAATTATTTCCTAAAAGTGAATGGAACAAACTCCCTCCTTTCCCACGTAGGTACCTTTCACATCTTTCAGAGTCCATTTCAAACTCTTTTGCCTTCAAGAATCTTGCCTGTTCCCCCAACTGAATTCTCCCTCTCCTTCCTTTAATGCTACCCTCCTGGCCCTGTAAACATTAGTTGCACCTCTTCCATAGCAGACCTTGTATCTTGATGCTTTCTCTCTTCTTGGCATTCTATAAACATTGCTTGAACTAAATGCAATATCGTGGTCTCCATTCTAACATGTATTCATCCTTTCCTGAGTCAGATTACCCAGGTTATACAGGCTGCAGCTTCCCCCTTTTCCGATCTGCTCTGTGTATGTGTACATGAGCATTCCATGAAACACACAAGAAGGTCAAATGACAACTTGCATGAATCAGTTCTTTCATTTCACCATGTGAGTTTCAAGGATCAAACCTGGTGCTCAGATTGGACAGCAAGTGCCTTTCCTTGTTGAGCCATTTCACTGGCTCCCTTTGCCAGTCTTCTCAGGAAAAAAGTACAGAAATAAAATGTGGTCTTTAAAAAGCTCAAAATACATCAGCATTGCAATAAACTGTAAGTCATGCTAAATGTTGGGGTCAATCTGCTGCTTCTAAATTAAACACCATTAGGAATAATCGAGCTATTCTACTTGAATTCAAAATGAGGAAAAAATAAACTCTACACACACACACACACACACACACACACACACACACACACACAC